TAGCTCTAGGAAACAAAGACTAAAGTTCCTCTGAAAAAGTGACATTTAACTTAAGACTTGAATGATGTCAATGGGACCTACCTGTCTTAGGTAGAAACCAGCTTGGTATTTGGAAGAAATAGAAAGAAGGCTACAGGAGTTGCCTACAAAAAGGGGTATGAAAGGAAGTATAGAACGCAAGGCCCAGGTCACAGCCACGGTAGGCCACAGACAGGAAGCCAGGTGAAGACTTTCCCAGTGCCAGAGTCACTTACTTAATCAGATTTCTGTGGGGAAGATTTGGCATGATCTTGCTGTGTTTGTGAAATACTTAAACAAACAAACAAACAAACAAAAATCATCTTGACCAGAGTATAGACTGTGTCTCAGGGAATGAGAGAAAACAAGGTTATAGTATGGTTCAGGCATAGGTTCAGACTGGGGAATGGTGGGAAATGGGTGTTACTAAAGATCATGTCACACTGTGAGCGCGCTGGTACCACTCAGTGGACTGGAGCCTGTAGAACAGCATGGAGAGAGAACTGACTGCCTATTCACGGTGGCAGACAAGACGTAAGAGACAGACTTCCCCCTCCTGGAACCTCTTCTTCCTCTAAGATAACAGTAGTTAGTTGCTGGCGTCACATGGGCTCATGTGTAAACAGAATGCAATCCCAGGTATGTGGAAGAGTCTCACTGCATCAAAGTTCCTTCTTCCCTTTCTCGCTTTTTCCTTGCATTAAAATGTACCAGCAGCTACTGGAATGAAATTCCTAAAAGCTGAGTGGGAAGTTGACTCAACAGCAATAATAACAACCAGCAATCCTTTTTTTGTGTGGTTCTTAATAAAAACAAAGAGAACCTCATCACTGGCATAGAAGAAACAGCTTGTCCTTTGAGGCCACAGATTGTTGCACATAATCAGATTCGGGCCTATGAGAGCAGCCAAGAACCAGAGTTCTGATATGGGACAGAGCAGGCCTTGGGACGGCAACCCCACAGAACCCGAACTACGCGCCTTTACCCTTTACCCAAATCTTTGTGTCACTTCAGCATCAAAATCAAGGTCTGAAAGAGAAGCAAGAGTAACATTTGCACTGCTCTACAGTGGGGCTTCAGGCCGTTTGTTCATAGAGTCACTATGAGCTGTGCCCGACTCGAAGGCAATCAATAATAACAACAACAAAAGATTCAGTACCAGCAGTCAGGAAATAAGGAGACACATTGCACTGGGAAAATTGGCAGCTAGGGAATCTCTCCAAATAAATGAGGAGCAATGATGGACTAAGGTGCATCCGATTCAAGCCACGGTCTTTCTGATCATTTGCTATGTATCTGGTGAATAAAGGTGACAGAGGAAGAATTGATGTTTTTGAGTTGTGATATTGGAGAAGAAAGAGCACTGAGCATTCCATGGACGGCCAAAAGAACAAACAGGTATGTCCTGGAGAAGGTGCAGCTGGAGCGTTCTTCTGCAGCGTGAATGGTGAGGGTTTCCCTCACACTCTGGGCATGGTGCTAGGAGGGGCTATTCCTTGGAGAAGGACATGATGCTAAGAAGGGTGGAAGGTTGACAAAGGAGAGGAAGACCCACAACCAGCTGGATTGACACTGTGACTGCTGCAACGGGAAGTGTGAGGATGGCACAGGATAGGACAGAGCTCAGATCATTTGCCCATTGGGTCGCTGAGTCATACTCGATGTGAAGACATCCAACAACAACAACAGATTCAAAAGGAACCTACTTGAAAGAAACAGAAGAGTGAAGGATGCCATTTCACGCTCACTTGGATGAGCCCGTTTCTGACTTCTATGACAAACCTCTCAGTGTGACTGATCTTTCCCTCAAAGAAGAGACTCATATCTGAGTCAGCTTACTCAACCACCACATTCCAAAAGGCCCTTGCCCACTCTGTGGAGTGAGGAGGTGAAAGAGGGAGACGGTGTGTGGGTGACTTGAGCGTTCTGTCAATGGACAGAAGCAGGTGAGAGTTCACGGAGCTCCTTGCTTTGACATCTGACACAAGAGAATGAAAGAAAAAAAAATGAATAGAACAATTAATTTTTTTTAAAAAAAAAGGACAAAGAAGTCAAACCATCTGAGGCCTCTGGTGTCTTCTGGCCACATCTGTTAACGTTCTTGTCTTTAAAAACAAAAAGGCTACACACACGGGCATGAAGATGAGAAGGAGAAGGTTAACTAGAAGTGAAGAGGAAAAAAGAGCTTAGAATGAAAGCAAACCTGTGTAACAAGCTTGAAATAGCCCAATCTTAATATTTCCTAAAACTGTTAAAGTGTAATTCCAGTTAGAGTTGAAGTCCAGTTAGAACCTCTTGCACCCACACATTTATTGGCTGATAGGTATCCTGGTAGTGTCTCATTCTGCATCTGAACTGCCTGATCTGGTTGCCTTCACCAGTCCAAACCAGCTCAGCAGAAGTCAAGCGCACAAAGACCTCTGGCCATTGGGCACAGTGGTGGCATAGGGACATCATGATTCATCTCCTCTAGTTCAAAGAGGAGTTAGGGCATGCTTAACTCCCCATCAAATGGTGTATTTGCCCTAGAGATCACCCAGGCACTCCCAAGAAGTACATTTTAAGGTAGGTGTTAAATAAGACCCAGCTACTGGGTTCTGTCCCCATTAGAAAGCAGAAAGGAGAAAATCAGGGCCAGGGCTTGAGCGGTGAGCCTGATGCCCAGCACAGGGAGGGACAGAGAGGGAACAGAGGGGTCTCTGCACCAGCTGTGTCTCCCAGTGCCAGTCAGAAACACTCCAAGGAAGCGCTTTGCCTACCATTTTGGACCATTTTTACTACCTAGACCATGTAGGCCAATCAGCATATAGGCTGTTGTTGTTTGCTGTTATGTGCCGTCGAGTCGCTTGCAATGCTAGAAAATCCTTCCCCATAACAAGTTCCTATAGGGCTTCTCACACACGCTGCACACCCCACACCAGGCCTGCAGTTGTCCTAGATGAGGCCAAGGGTACGATGGGCAGGTAGAAACGGGCCTTTGTGATTGGATTCCACAAATTACTTTTATGTAAATAAAATTTAGTAAAACAGGAAGTCACTTAGTCAGCGTTTTAGGTAAGAGAATATGCACTAAGAAACTGCAAATGAATACACACAGCTAAACACTATGGGACTCAGTCATCTTCTCTAACCCACTAACCATATAATTCAAATAGGTGTATTTCATAGAAATATCCATATGTATGTATATGTGTACTCGACGGCACATAACAACAACATGTACATGTGTGTATGTTCATTCCAATGTGCACTTTGACCAAAACTATCTCCTTAAAATAGCATGAAGGGCTCTATCTTCAAATCTTCAGTCTCCTCCCACTGAGACTGGCTGCCCTGGAAACTCGAGGTTGAATCATTATGAGTCAGGGCTGACCTCACAGCAATGGGGCTTACTACCTTGATAAAGATTTCAACTGACTGTTTATATTAAGTAACAAAATGTTGTGCCTAACAATTTCAGAGAACAAAACCAAACAGGTTGTTTTCCTAACAATTTTATCAAGAACTTCTCATATACTAATATACTCTGTGGCTTTCCAAGAGGAGGCTTAAGTGTATAGCAATTTTAAACAGTTTTAACCACAGAACCACAGGACAGGATATTGTGCTGCCCAGCCAGCCACACTGTATAGTTCTGGAAATGCTCCTGTAATGAGTTTCGTACTCATCTACAGCACTAGAAATCACTGTAGCCCTCCTAAGGAACGAAGAATATGAACTGTAGGTGTGAAGCAGAAAGTTGAGAAAAATTAGCAGATAACTTGGATAATTTTCAGGGTACCTAAAAGGGTTGACAAATTAACCTACAATGCCTAAAACAGAGGCACTGATGGACAAAAATCAACTAAATCCCAAAATCTCTGACTAAGCAAAATGAGGTCTCCAGTGCACCCACTGTCTTCCTAGAGAAAATGGGCCGTAAGTCAGGATCTCAGTGAGAGATTGCAAACAATACAGTAGGTATGTTCCTGGGGAAACGAAATGTAAAATCCAACCCACAGCCAAGTGTTCCATTAGAATATGAAAATTTAAATATATTTCCTGCTTTTCGGTACAATTGGTATTAGACAGTCATAATAATGGAAACAGGAACTTACAATTTATTATATTCAAATAAAAGGCATAATTCTTAATTGATATCCTGTCCAAAGCTTCAAAATATCTTGATAAATCATCCCCTACCAGGAATGTACAGAATAAAATTGAGTGTAAATGCTCCCCACACAAAAGAAAGAATACAGAACGTTCAGGCTCGGCATGGATACGAACCCTCACCCTTTGTGGTCTGGGCCCCCTGTTCTGCTCCAAGTTTCTGTGGTGCTGGGTCTGCTGGAGTCCTGAGATGATGAGAGCATTTAACACAGGCCATCTTGGCTACCCAGGCTGCTTTGGCTCCGGCAGAACACAGGACCCAGCAAGCCTGGGTCTCCCCACGGGAGTAGCTGTCCACAGCACTGTCCATTTAGGGTAGGGACAGTCCCAGTCACCTCAGGGCTGGTTACCCAGACGAGCAGTGACCTGGGCTCCTTGCTGCCTTAAGCCATTCTCTGCTCTCCATGTTTATCTTTTAATCAGTCACCATACTCACAGGTTCAAGTCCACCCACAAGTCTGAGAAGAAGAGGTCTGACTATGTACTTTCAGAAAGTCCATAACGGAAAATCTGGTGGAGCACAGTTCTAATCTGTCCCACACAGGGTCGCCATGAATCAGAAAGAGGTGGATGGTACCCTCTGTGTGTGTGTGTGTGTGGGGGTGCACACACGTATATAGAGGAGACTGTTCACATTCCTCCCATGAAGCCCTGGTGGACTGCTAACCTAGAGGTTAGACAGGAGCCAAAAGAAAGATGGAGTACAAAAATCATAAGGCTTGAGGGGGAAAAAAATCACAAGGCTTGGATCCCAAGCAAGACTCGTGGCTATCTGGGCCTGTACAACCCAGGATGGAGATAAAAGGCAGAGGGAACAGACGAGTTCGTACCTTCATTCCTGCCGCAGCTGCAGGGCCACTAGGGTCCACGGCCTGGATGTGGCACGGCTTGCTTCCTCGTACCACAAAGCCCCAGCCAACAGCGTCACCGACAATCTAGAAAGGAAAGCCAGCCAAGGAGTAAGCAGGTGGTAGGACAAATCCTCTGTCTGTCTGTCTCTGTCTTCTCAGGGGAAGGGAGTGCAGGCTGATAAAGGGCCCGCCTGTCTCTGTGAAAAGGTAGTCTAGAACCCTCCACCTGTTTGGCAAAGGGCTGCTTCTTCTGCAGGGCATTAAAGAAAGAGCTGGCAGACTGCCTCCTTCTATAACTGTTCCACAATTTCATCGCAGCCTCTAATGGAAGGCTCAGATGATCTTAACAAAGTGGCTGAAATGTTTTCCCAGACCCATTCCACAATTTCATTGCAGCCTCTAATGGAAGGCTTAGATGATCTTAACAAAAGTCTTTCGAGACTCACTTTCTACTTCCACTTTGTTCTGTTTGCCTGGACCCAAACGGTACACTCTGGATGATCTTGATGGTATCACCGAGGTCTAAAAGAACTTTCAATTACTAATGTTCAAACACAGGAAAATCACTAATGTGGGGACACAGATTCTTGGCTGTGTTGAAACACAACTTTCTCCATAAAGAAAGTATTTTGAGGCATACATGGAGCCCACGTTTTACAGACAGACCTTCATCCAAAAGTGGTTTGGAATGGGCATGTACATTTTCCTATAGGATCATTATTAGGTTTGGCAGCTCCTAGACAAGTCTTCAACCCTCAGCCTGACCAATTACACATTCAACATCAATTACTGAAAACAATGTCATCTAAAACTAAAGGCCCAAAAGGAGATACTTTGAGAATACAATCCACTGTCTCCTGCTGGAGGAGATGCAAGGAAACAAATGAACGTTTTAGTGGCATTTCTTAGGGAAACTTTTAGACACTTCAGCGACTTCGGGGTTGGCTGCTCTTTCGTGTATGAGAGAGACCTCATTTCGTGTACATAGTCCTCCCTTCTCCCTGATACTTATATTAGTATCGTCTTTCTCTTACTGCTCAGCAAAATCATGGTGGGCCTTTTACTCTCAAATCCAGCAGAGTGAACATGAGAGCTGTGGAAGGCAAAGGCTGGGTCTACACTGCCCACAGCCCAGCAATGGAGCCCCTGGAAAACGTCTGTAGTGTGAGTGTGTGTGGAGGGACATGTGCATGAGGGAACAGAGCATGAGTCAGTTTCCTGAGAGAAGGAATGGTTTTCAAGGCCAAATGGACGTTGGTGTGTGAAGACTGAGTGTGAGTGACTGGGAAGGGGGGTGGGGAGTGAGGAGACGTCTTCAGAGCACTTTGATTCTATCAGAAGAAAATCGGGGGGATTAATGAGAATCAGGAAGAAGGCTGAGGTGCAAGGAGGTCGGGAGCAGCCCACAGGTACACGGTGCTTGAAAACCAAGCACCTGAAGGGTCCATAGGCTGTGTCTCTCGGGCAGCACGGATCCACCAGCTGCTCTGCAGGTGTGTGTGTGTGTGGGGTCAGGTGGGGGCGGGGGGAGAAGATGTGCAATCTCCCCCTGTGCTATTTACAGCCTCCAGAAACCCACTGCAGGGTTAGCTACCAGCCAGCTCTATCTCTGCGGCATTGAGGTTTTATAGGGTTTGGGTTTGTTTTTTTTTTTGTAACCCAAAGCTGGGCAGCATTGTCAAAATGCCATTCTTTACCTTAAGGCAATTTATTCCACACCAAAATGCCAAGCCTACAGCCACTGAGTAGATTCCAACTCCCAGTGACACCACAGGTCAGAGCAGAACCACCTCTGAGCTCTTCCAAAGCTGGGACCCTGACGGCGGCCAACCACCACGTCGTTCTCATGTGGAGCCGCAGGTGGGTTTGACCACCAAGCTTTCGGTCAGCAACCTGGAGGCGTAACGTCATCACCAGGGTTCCTATCTACCCCATCGCCTCTTGTCATGTCATACATTGTTTTTAGAATTAAATTTAATGCACAAAGCATGAAAACACCTACACTTAAATCTATAAATATATTAGACTATTTGCAAAGTGGATTTTTTTAAAGGAAATCAAAATGAATGAAAATGCAGTATTAACAACAAATGGCATGAATGTTAATCTTTAACAGATGTAGCTGCAATCTTGAGGCCTGGGGGTGGTCAAGACAGTCTACTATTGTGACTGTGTTAAAGCTAGAAACACAACAAAGTGCAACAATGAATGACCGGAAATCCTAAGTCTCTGTAAACTTTCATTAAAATTAATAAATAAATTAGGGGGGAAAAAAAGATAGACAACAAAGGTCCAGGTCAGTGCATAAGCTACACCATGGCGCAGTCACACGGCACAGAGGGGAACAAGCGGCAGAACAAGGGTTGGGACCTACCGTGAAAGTCTTCCTTGCGTACGGAGCCCCGGGAGTGAGCAGTTCCTCTGAAGTGACAGGTCTCTTTAACACTGTGAGACACACACAACATCAAGAGGAAACACATGAACCTTCTCATCACATAGTCATTCCATGGTCATTACTGAACACACCTCCATGATCATCTGTCAACAGCACTGGCAAAGGCCCCTCTTAGCGCTTACACTCCAGCCAACAGAAAGAAGGGAGACCAGCAAACATGAACAGCCTAACGTCTAATGTATGGAGTTCTGGTGAAAGGAGACGTGGGTCAGGGTAAGGAGAACAGTAGTGCCAAGGATAAAGGGTGGGCGGAATATTTTCTGGAAGGGGTCGTGTCTTCTAGTTTAATTTCTTTTAAATTTAAAGTCTGATAAGCACTGGCCTGTTTAGGACTAATTTGGAAGCAGGAGTGTCATCCACTTCCTAAACCACATGCCACTGGAAACTCTATGAACCCAGAGAAGTGACCATAGTTACAGAAAGGCCTCAGGCCTTTGATTCATAGGGTCACTACGAGACATGCTCAACTTGACAAAAATCAACAACAACAACAACAACAACAACAAGCACTGATGAATGCCAAAGTTCAGAGAAAATCTGACAGTAGTGGTCTGACAGCCTCATTTTAAGATCTAATCCCACAAAACCTGCCTTCCCTGATAACACTGTATCTGACACACAAGACATTATCTGGACCTGTGGTCTTACCCAGGATTGCACATCCACCCCTGAGGAGTAAGCAGGACTAGCAAATTTTCTGAGTATTCCAATGTATTGGGTACTATGTTAGGTTTTTAAATATATTAGCCTATTTCATCCTCACAAGAACCAAGGAGTTAGTTTTACTATTTGCCCCATCTTATAGCTCAGAAAATGAAAAGAAAAAAAAAAGCAGCAAATAAAAGTAAAAGAGATGTGTAAAATGGTGTAACCACTCTAGAAGGCAGTATGGTGCTTTCTCAGACACTTGGAAATACAAATACTATTTGACTCAGCAATTCCACTACTGGGAATATACCCTAAAGAAACCAGAACTGCCACTCAAGCAGGTATATGCACACACATGTTTATTGCTGCTTTGTTCACAATAGCAAAGAGATGGAAACAACCCAAGTGTCCCTCAACAAATGAATGGCTAGAGAAGCTTTGGAATATTTACACAATGGAACACTATGCAGCACTGAAAAACAAGGAACTCATGAAATATTATACAGAATGGATGACCCTGGAGGACATTATGCTGAGTGAAATATCTCAGTCACAAAAGGACAAATATTACATAATGTCACTGTTGTAAAACAGGACTGACATGAGGGTTGGGGAAAACTAAGAAAAGAGGTGATAAACAATGTACACTGCACTGAAACAGGTGAGGAAAAGAACTGCTTAAAAAGAATATATGATTAAGTATTAATTTCATGACAGCAGTCCAGAATAATAGCTGCATAGTAAAGTGGACTCAGGTAGGGGCAGGGAATTGTACAACAAGGAAATAATTTATTTTTTCAAGGAGAAATGTAAACTGGGGAGGGTTGGAAAATGTTTAGCAGTGAATAAATGAAAATACAAGTTCTCTATAAACTTTCATTAAAATCTCAATTAAAAAAAAAAGAAAAAAGTAAAAGAGATGGCATGTTAGGTTCCAGGCTAACGTGTAGCAGAAGCAACACGCAAACCCAGGAGCTTGGTACCAGATCCCTCACTGTCACCCCCAGAGAAGCATCTCAAACCTCATCTGCAGTGTTGTCTCTGGATGGAGCAGAAAGTACCAACAAGCTGCAGAAGGCAGTGGGGTGTGTGGCCTCCTGATGTCTTCTGGCTTTCTAATCACCCTTTCAGCAAACGGCAAAGAGGTGCTTCTGGTTGGGGCTAGTCATTTCTGCTTTCAGGAATCTCATTCAGAGTGGATACATCTATCTGGATTTCAGTCAGGATGGGGGTTAAAGACATATCTGGCAGCTGTCCAGGAGTCAGAGCTGCCAAACTTAATAATGATCATTTAGGAAAATGCACGCTGCCGTTTCAAACTTTTGGATGAAGGTCTATTTGTAAAATGTGGACTTCATGTGTTTGTTTGAATTAATTTCTTGTAGAGAAAGTTGTGTTTCAACACAGCCAAGAGTCTAAGTCCCAGCATCAGTGATGTTTTCCCTATGTCTCACCATTAGTAATTGAAATGGTCCATTTAGACCTCAGTGATGTACCAAGATCATCAAGAATGTACCATATGGGTCCAGGGGAAGAAAACAAAGTAGAAGTAGAAACTGGATGAGGGAGGAAATTTGAACTGCTTTTTTAAGAGTGTGTGAGACTTCCTTCACAGTCTGAAGTGTGCTGCTCCCAAATAAAAAGGAGTTTATCAAACAACAAAATGAAAACATAACTCAAAATTTCTCAGCTGGACAGGAGGTAAAAGAAGTGTTCATGTCTGAAGAATGAGACCTTTTAAATTCCTTGTCTGGTAACTCCAATGTGACCCCAGCAAACCCTCATGAGGTAGTAGAAAACACAGCAGGGAAAAAACCAGACAACAGCAGTCTACTGTAGATCTGGCCACAATTGTCATTGTTGGCTGCTGTAGAGTCAACACACCTCCTAGCGACCCTATGAACAATAGATTTGAGCCCTGTCCTATCCTGTGACATCACCGTCATCCTGACACACTTGAGCCCATTGCTGCAGTCACCACTTCAATCTGTCTCATTGAGAGTTTTCCTCTTTTGCTGACATTTCAAAGCATGATGTCCCTCCCCAAGGAATAGCCTCTCCTAGCAACATGCCCGAAGTCCGGGAGACCAAGCTTCACCATCCTTGCCTCTAAGGAGCACTCTGGCTATACCTTTCCCAAGACTTACCTAGAATATGAATAGAATAGAATATTGGCAACAATGATGATCATATATGATCTTTTTCTCCCTTAATTATATAAAAAAATGTAGAATCTCTGAGGCCCAAGATGTGACTCTTTATAATTTTCTTTTTTTATAAGGCTGGAACCTCTTCGCTCACACTCCCACCCACACCCACGAAGTTGATTCTGCTGTCAGGGACCTCTTCAGAGTACTGAAGAGCAACAGTGTCAGTCTTGAGACTAAGGTGCACCTGATTTAGGCCATGGTCTTCACACAATTACTTGCTATGCATCAGAAAACTGGACAATGACAAGAGATGACAGAAGAATTGATGCCTTTGAGTTGTGGTGCGTGAGAAGAGTATTGAATATATCACAGACTGCTAGGAGAATAAACAGGTTCATCCTGGAGAGAGTAAAACCAGGCTCCTCCTTGGAGGCAAGGATTCTGAAGCTCTGTCTGATATACTTTGGGCATATTTCAAGGAGGCACCAGTCCTTGGAGAGGAACACCACGCTTGGAAGAGTGGAAGGACAGCACAAGAGAGGAATGAGACACTGAATGAGATGGACTGACTCAGTGACTGGGGCAATGGGAGTTAAGTATGTCAGAGACAATGAGGTTGGCATAAGATAGAGCAGGGTTCAGAGCTGTTGCACACAGGGTCATTATGAGTCACAAGCAACTCGACAGCATATAACAACAAACAACAACAACAACATTGAGACTCTATTGGACAGAACTGAACGTCAGAACTGAACTTTCCGAGGCTGCAGATCTTTAGAAGAAATACCACCTCAGAGCAACTGGAGGACATAAACCACTCACCACAAGGTCAACACCTCAATGTTTAAATCGTCAAGACTCCTCTTTTTTGGCTCAGCACAACGAATTCAAAGTATGTGGTCAAATCTGCAGTATTTTTCCATCTGGCCATATTGTTGTTGTTAGGGACCATCAAGTCGAGTACAACTCATAATGACCCTATGAGAAGCTGACCTCAACCCTGCCTTATTCTGTGCCATCCTCATCATCTCTGATATATTAGATAGAGCTCACTGCTGAAGACACTATGTCACATCATCTTGTTGGGGTGTTCTTCTCCTTCAATGACCCTCCACTTTTTCCAAGCATGGTGTCCCTTTCCAAGGAATAGCCTTACCTACCTACATGTCCAAAGTACGAAAGAGGAAGCCTCAACATCTCTGCCTCACAGGAGCACTCTGGCTGCACTTTTCCAAGAGATATATGTTTATTCCTTAGGTAGTCTACAGGCTATTCAGTCTTCACCAGCAGCAGAACTCAAAGGCATCAATTCTTCTGTTAACTTTTTTCACTGTCCAGCTCTCTGATGCATAGCAGGTGATTGAGAAGACCATGGCCTGAATCAGGCACACCTCAGTCTTCAAACTGACATCATTGCTCTACATCATTTAGACATTCACGTATATAACATTGCAAATGATGGGCCTAATGTGTAAAGGAAGGCTGGTGGCATAATCTGTATGAAGCTGTGCTGGCAATTCACAGGCCTTACCTCTCCAGTGGTTCAAATTCACGAGGAGCTCCTAGGAAGAAAGATGTGCAATCCTCTCCATGCCACTTACAGCCTCAGAGACCCACTAGGAGGGTCAGTTCTGAGTCAGCTCCGACTTGGCAGCAATGGGTATGAGTAAGAGAATGGTGTCTATATGAAGTTTACCTTTTAACTGACTTAGTATGAAGTCCAGATTTTCTATGAGGGGGAAAACCCCACAAAACCACCACCACATACGACATCAGAGTCATGGGACCTTTTTATGAATGAGGGAGAGACTGCTCTGGATCTAGGTAGCAGGTGGACTGCTGAGCCACAAACTCAGGAGAGGGCTGGTCTTCACACGCCCAGGAAAGACAATGAGCGCTTTGTTTGTGCCTACATATCAGCAAATGTTTCCATTTAACTCAAAGGGCAGGACAAAAGGAAGCAATAACAACACACTTGGAAGAACACAGACACTGTCACTTATTTATAAAAGTAACACTGTCATAGTCTACTATCATAAGCAATCAAAAACATGTCAAATACCACCAGCGCATCTGCTCCCTTTCTGAAACTGAGAGCTGAGCTTAAAATATCTTCATTGTTTTCCTTCCTGATTCTATTTTATCAGCAATACCCATTAATTAAAAAGCCCAATGATGCGTGAGTGCTCAGTGACTTTTCAGCCAGGGTCAGAGCGGAAACTCATTCTTCATTCACTTGGTGGTTCCAACTTTATTGCCAAAGTAAGACCTTGAGCTGGTTGTGAAAACAAGGTGACCAAAGAATTCCTGGCGGCGGAGCTGGAACTGACGCCCAGCTGATCTGCCAGCAGTTTTCAGAGGCAGTAAATCCATGAGAACAGACGGTCCATCTTTCTCCTGCAGAACAGCTGGTGGACTGGAACAACCTGCCTTCGGATTGGCAATCCTCTGTACATTAGGACACAAAACCCATTTGCAAAATAGTAGGATAGTAGATTTTTTTTTTTACTGTTGTTGTTATGTGCCATTGAGTTGTTTGCAACTCACAGCAACCCTATGTACAAGAGCCCTAAACGCTGTTCTATCCTGTGCCAACCTCGCCGTCTCTGACACACTCATTCCCACCCCGATCACAGAATCAATCCATCTCATCAAGGGTCTTCCTCTTCTGCACCGTCCCTCCACTCTCCCAAACATGATATCCCTCTCCAAGGACCAGTCCTTCCTTACAACAGTCCAAAGTATGTCAGACGAAGCTTCAGAATCCTTGAGTCCAAGGACCATTCCAGCTTCACCCTCTCAAGGATGAACCTGTTTGTTCTTCTAGCAGTCCATGGTACATTCAACACTCTTCTCCAGTACCACAGCTCAAAGGCATCAATTCTCTTTCTATCATCCCTAGTCACTGTCCAACTCTCTGATGCACAGCACATAATTGCGATGACTATAGCCCGGATCAGGCGCACCTGAGTCTCCAGCCCAACATTTTTTTCTACTCTTGTAAATATTATATGGTGAATAACAAGATAGTTGGTAACTGTGCTGCAATCCCAAAGATACAAGGTTCGTATCCAACAGATGCTTCACAGAACGATAGGCAGTCTCCTCCTGTGTGATTTTACTGCCTCTGAAAATCTGCTGGAGAGTAAGTTCTGACAGCACACAACAACAAGCAAGGAGTAGGTGTATATGTGTTAATGAGAAAGGCTAATAGATGTTGTTCCAAGTACGTAGGGAATAGTTGTTATCAAATGCTGTTATCTAAGCAAGTAGGGTGGGGTTTCTTTTCCATGATTTAACTTTGTTTTTAGGCCACTTTGTGCACATGATTCTCAGTGGTTTGATAGTTATGTAGTGTTGTAGTCTGGCAATGATATAACAGTGTAATCTGGCAGTTATTTAATGATGAAATTTGCTAATTATTTAATGATGTAGTCATTTTCCATTTTGTGATCAAATGCCTGAATAGGCCTAATATTAATTTTCACAAGATGACCTGGTCTTTGGTTCTTTTACATAACGACTTCCTCATGTTAATAAGTGAGGACCGGGGCGGCTTGTTTGAGGTGGGTTTTTTTTCCCTCTAAAGGATTGGTGTGCTTTTTTGAGAGAAGGGGCTCTGGGGCTTTCATCTTTGTGCCAATTACTTTGTGGTGATACGGAAACAGCATGAACGGGACAAATTCTCTTCTTTGGAGACATTAATCTGTCCTGGAGGCAGAAAGGACACCGAGCTACCGGATAAGTACACTAATGGTCTGCTACACAGATACAGACCAGTGATCCTTAGGAAAAGGAAGCAGGACAACGGGGAACCGGGCAGCACCAGGAGGTTGTGGGTAGAAAGCCTCACCCTTCATGCCAAGTCAAGGCCACTCTGAGGGGCCACCCCACCCCCTGACCTTCCCCTGACATTAGCCGTGGCCTTCATTCCAACTGTATTGCAGCCAAATTTCTCTTGACCAATCTTACTTCTTGCCTTTCCATTCCACAGGGGTTGGTCCCAAGAGGATGCTGATGGTAGTTTCCTGTACTCAGCCTGCAGTAGAGTGTCCCCCCTCAGGATCTGCTTTCCTGGGAGCCCAGCCTGCACATCTCCCCAAGGAGAGCCTTTCATCCACTCACCGGACTTGGGGTTGCAGAGCACAGGGGGGCTGCTGCTGAGCGTGGGGCTGCTGCTGAAGTAGCCGCTGCTGCCACAGCTGCTCATGCTGCTTCTCCGCACGGCGGACACGATCTTGATCTCCTTGCTGGGGCTGACTGCACAGGCAGAGACACAGTCACTGAGGGCAGCGGCTGGGCGCCCCGGGACGCGTGCGTGCCAGCGGCAACGTTCAGTGCCAGCAAGAAGCACGCGGGCCGCAGAGTCGACATGCAAGTTCTGACACTAAGAGCAAAGCAGGAGGCCATTCCTGGCCCAGGCCTGACCCTCCACCTCCCTGACTCTGCAACCGCCTGACCCTCCACCTGTCTGACCCTCCACCTCCCTGACCCACCTTCCTGACCCTCCACTTTCCTGACCCTCCACCTCCCTGACCCTCCACCCGCCTGACCCTGCACCTCCCTGACCCACCTTTCTGACCCTCCACTTTCCTAGCCCTCCACCTCCCTGACCCACCTTCCTGTGTTACTTCAAGAACTGGTGCTAAGAGTGGATCATGCAGTATATGTAGAAGTTCCCAGCTACATCAAGAACTTTAAGAATTCCCAGCCCAGGCTGGGTGGTTCCTGCTAGGGCATAAATTAAGTGTTGGACATGCACTTAATGAACGAAGAATAATGCTAACTTTCTCCTGATTTCATATTAAGCTGGTAAGTACTCAGGGTCATGGAGCAGAGTGCTGTAACTCACTGCTGATAAGTTGAGACCGAATCAGAAGAGTCCCTAGGCTGCTGCTGTTGTCCTGCAGGGTTTTACGGTAAAGGCATAGTTACACTGTCAAGAAGGACCAGTCCTGAAGAACAGCATGCTCGGTGCAGGACAGGGTCAGTGACAAGGACAAGGAGATGCACTGACCAGCGGCTGCCAAAAAGCCTCAAACACGGCGACAAGTGATTGTGAGGATGGCGTGGCACGGGAAGTGGTCTGCTGCACACGGGACTCTGAACCAGGACTAACTCACCGGCACCTCACAACAAGGACAACCCATCTTTTAGACAGATGCAGATCGCCAGATCTTTCCTCTATGGAACCACTAGGGTTTGAACTCCCAACCTTTTGCTCAGTAGCTATGTGGTTTAAGAGTCATGCTATTAAGAACAATGTATATTTGACTAGAAATCTTCTATTCAGCCTTAAAATAGAAACTACTTCATAGCTGTGGCTTAGAAAACAAGATAATAAATGATAGTTTAAAAAATGGGGATGCAAAAAAAATTTAATGGTGATGCAGCGATTAAAGCATTCAGCTGCTAACTAAAAGTTCAGTAGTTTGAATGCACGAGCCTCTCTGCAGGAGAAAGACATAGCGGTCTCTTCCTACAAAGCTGAGAGGTTTAGAGGCACCATGGAGTGGTTCTGTTCTGTCCTCCAAAGTGACCAGGAGTTGGAATCAACTCAGTGTTGTTGTTGTTGTTGTTAGGTGCCATCAAATCAACTACAACTCCTAGTGAGCCAATGAACATCCGCTCTGAACCATGCCCTATTCTGTGCCCTCTTCACGATCTCTGTCCTGCTCAAGCCACCCAACAGTCACTGTGTCAATCAATCTCACTGAGGGTTTTCCTCTCTCATCGACCCTGTACCTTTCCCAACATGGGAACCAGGTCAATGCTAGTGACTGGCTTCTGGTTTTGGTAAAAGTTGTTTGTATGACAAAAACACAAGCTCTGAGTGAAATCACGAAAGATTCTACCATAACACATATGTAATTAAAACAGTCACAGCAACAAAACACAGACAGGCAAGTTTTTGCCATAGAGAAAACTAGCTTCTTGGCTTTGAATCTATTAAAATTTGCCAAGGAAGAGAGTTTCCGCAAGGTGAGTTATCTATCGCCCCACTATTTTTCAGAAGGCACGCAGATGTGGGCAGGCAGCAGGCCCGCGGGTGTACCTGACATGAAGCTGGTTGATTTCCGATTGTCGTGGCCCTGCTTCCTCAGGCAGAAGGGGCTGTCGTGTGCTTCCTGCGAGGAGGGCGACCTCTCACTGAGCAGCTCCATCAGTCTTCGCCTCCGACGGAAGTTCATTCTGAACTGGTACAGGAGGTTGCTGTCCACGAATGGGTGCTTGTTGGACACTGAGGACAAGAAACAGCGGGTCAGGCGTTGGTGTCCTGGCTAGGAGACTCAGGCCAACGGGGGCAAAAGTCTAAGAAAGAGTTGAGTTCTATAGATGCCACAGGCGTCCACACACGGCTCCAGATTCTTCCCACGTGTCACACGCTTTTAAAATTAGCTAACCAGTTCCTCTGGGAAAGTTTCCCTGACCTCACTCCCAGTCCGAGTTACACTCTTACTGAGATTCTCCCAGGCTCCAACTTCCCTCAGAGAGTGCATTCCATAGCCCTCTATTTCTTCATCGTTCCCATTAAATCCTTTAAGGGTAGAGTGTGTGTTTTTATTTGCCTGTGTCAACTTACCTTTATTTACCTGCTACTGTCCTAGACAGACTTCAATTCCATTTTTAATTTTAATGGAAATAATTATAGACTCAGGGTCACAAAAATAGTACAGAGAAGTCATCTGTCTCTTCCATTCAGGTTCCCTCAATTGAATATCTTCTGCAAATAACTAGAATATCAAACCAGGATACTAACACTGACACCACCTACAGACCTTACTCGGGCTTTATATGTGCCAACTGCACGTGTGTGTGTGTGTGTGTACATACATGGTTGTAGGCAATTAGGTTACATGTATAAATTCATGTGAGCAAACACCTCAATTAAGTCACAGAATCGTCATATTCCTCATGACAAAGGAATTCTCTCCTACTACCTTTTTATAATCTTACTACCTCTCTCTTTCTCCCCAATTCCCTAATCCCTAACAAATACTGCTCTCTTCTCCTTATCTTTAATTTTATAATTTCGACAATTTTACATCCGCGGAAACATGTAATATGGAACCATTTGACAGTGATGTCTGTGACTAGTCATTAAGGAGAATCTATCCTTTAGATTGACCAAATCATGCCAACCTGTAAATTAAAACTCAACAATCGCTAATTCTCATTATCATTTTCCGTTGCCCTGCATCATATTAAGTGTTTTACATGTAGTAATTCCTTTAATTATAGTAACAGCCTGAGACTGTTGTTGTTACATGCTGTTGAGTCCAGTTCCACCAGAGCAACCCTCTGAACAACAGACCTGAACGCTGTCCTATCCTGGACCATCCTCATCATCTCTGATGCAGAGGCCCACTGCTGCAGTCACTGTATCAACCCTCATAGGGGGTCTTCCTGTTTTATAGGTAGAGATATTATCATCCTCATTTTTTAATAGAGAGGAAACACCATACACAGCCAAAGTAGAAACAATATCTGGTTACAGAGTCCAAGGCACAAATTCATAACTCTTTACTGTCTCTACACGAAATAACGTCTGTGCTTATCTGAGTTTGAGTAGACTTGAAGAACTGTACAACACTTAACTGTGCTCATATCAAAACTCTACCTAGACCAAGAAGCTGTTGTCTGAATGAAACAAGGGGACACGGCATGGTTTTAAATCAAGAAGGGTGTGTGCCAGGGATGTATCCGTTCTCCATACTTATTCAGTCTGTATGCTGAGCAAGTAATTTGTGAAGCTGGACTTTATGAAGATGAATGTGGCATCAGGATCAGAGAAAGGCTGAGCAACAACCTGCATTATGCAGATGATGCAACATTACCATGAAAAAGGAACAGACAGACTGCTAATATACAAATACCAAAAGCACTGAGCTGAGTGATGGGAAGAAAACCTCCAAGAAATCACCAACCAATTTAATTGATTTTTAAATTTTTTTTAAATTTTTTATTGTATTATTATTGTATTGTATTATTTGTACCGTCAAATCATATCTGACTGGTACAGGAGGAAATTGCTCCCTCCTTCTCCAGCAGAGCATCTGGTGGATTTGAACTGCGTACCTCTGGGATTGTAGTGTAGCGTCTTGCCACTAGACCACCAGAGCTCCCTAATTTAATTGATTTTATAAAAAAATTAATACCTATTCTTGAGAAATTGTTGCTTTTGGATGAAGAATCCAAAATCCTGGAAACCATTAGGAAAAGAATCTAGTTAAGAGTGATATTAATGATTTTATCACTAATTCTAATTGACTTAACAGTTTCCTTTGGTAGGTCACAAACAGCCTTCTACACCCTTTCTTCTAGGCCAAGGCCAGCAAATGGAATCTGAGGTCTAACAGTTGAGGGTTCATGTCTATTAATGAATAACTCTACTGGTTACATGAATATCAGAGTCTCAGAGAGTTAAGTTCCACTGCAAATGTTTAACCAAATGATTCATATGGGCGTTTCGGTCTTTAAATGGCAATAAACCACAGGTTTGTGCTGCTTTTAGCAAGCTTACTTCATGCCACACTGTTTTTCATGAAATACCTGAATTAGCACCTGTTTCTGGTAGCCAAAAGAAATTGGAATTTTTTTTTCTCTTTTAGGGAAAAATTCAAAAAGCAAAACTTGCTATAGTCTCTGCTTTTCAAGGGACCACACACGAGAGAGAGCACAGCCAGATCAGAGAGACGGTGCTGCCAAACATCCTCTAACTACACTCTGGATTCCAGCAACAGGCCACAGCTTTCAAATGCCTGTGACCACTTATGTTAGCATTATTTTAGGGGATACATACCAGACCATATGGTCTAGTAGGGTTTTTGTTTGTTTGTTTGTTTGTTTTTGTAAGTTATTTCTTGAGTCAAGAGAGTCTCAAGACATTTTCCTTTTTTTTTTTTTTTTTGCTTTTTTGCGTTATGCTATTTCGGCATACAAAAGGTTTTTCCAAGACATCTCTATTTCCTTTTTCCAAACAGATAACCCTTGCTACAAAAGAAATAACATTAATAAGTTCAGTAGTCTTCTTGATAGATAACTGAATCTCGGATTCAGGAGACACACACAGAGCATGTAATCTGGACCAGGAAATGGGTCAGTTACACTTTAAGATGGTATCTCTAAATACTGGCTCTTCTGTGAACAAATTTTTACATAAATTTCCTGTGTGTCTATTCTTTCATGTGGGAGAAAGATGGGCAGTCTCCTCCTGTGTGATTTACAGCCTCTGAAAACTTGCTGAAGGGTCTGCTATGAGTCAGTTCTGTCTTGATGGGACTTAACAACATAGCTGCTCTTTCATAGTAGAATAAACTATTGTGGATTGTTTATTCTGGACAACATATTTTTAGTTTAAGTGATTTTTTGCATGTATAGAAGAATGATTTTTAAATTTGGCTTGCATCTAATTTTTATTATTTTAATGGGAGTTTACAAATAAATTGCCTGTTCATTCCCTTATCTGTGTTTTTTTTTAAATTTTATTATTTTTTGGTGTGTGTACCATCAAATCGGATCCGACTGGTACAGGAGGAGACTGCCCCTCCTTCTCCAGCAGAGTACCTGGTGGATTCGAACCTCATACCTCTGAGAATGCAGTGCAGCTTCTTTCCACTAGGCCACCAGAGCTCCCTCATTCATTTATTTATACAGATATAGTCCTTCTTCCAGGGAGCTCTGGTGGCCTAGTGGAAACAAGCTGCTCTGCAATCCTGAAGGCACGTGGTTCGAGGGCACCAGCTGCTCCATGGGAGAAGGATGGGCAATCTCCTCCTGTGTGATTAACTGTCTCTCAAGTTAGGTCGATTCCAGCTCCACGGTAAACAACAGCAACAGCGAGTAGTGAGAAGCTGTGCTGCAATCCTGAAGGCATGAGGTTCAAAGCCACCAGCTGCTCGTCTGAAGCATGGCATGCGGCTCCAGAAGCTTTATGAACTTTGATAAATGTTGATAGTTGTAGAGGGGCCTCGGGACTTTTGTTCATAGAGTTGCTATGAGTCATGCTTGACTAGAAGGCAATCAACAACAACAACAATTCCCTCTCCCTTTCCCTTAGTTCCCTCACGCATATCCTGGGCCAGCTTGGTAGCGGCATTACTCATAATGCCTTAGGAGCCATTCCTTTCAGAATTCCCTCCCCTTCCTCTCTCCCAATATTCTATGCTCCTCCTCTTTCCAGTCTCTCCCTGTTCTCCCTGCGTCTTCTTGTCCCCACTGCCCTGTAATAAAATCTTCCAATTGATGCGGGAAAAAGAAAAGATCCAGGCCTGGAAATCAATGCTGTTACTGTTGTTAAGCACAATCAAGTCGACTAAGACCACAGGGACCCTGAGAACGATGGATCTGAGCCCTGCCCTGTCCTGTGCCGTCCTCATCATCTGACACACTCAAGCCTACCGTTAGAGTCACTGTGCCAATGTCTGTCCATGGGTTTATCCCCCTCCTTTGCTGACCCTCGACATTTCCGAGCCCTGAAAGGCTCTGCCTCGGCTGATCTTTCATCTCCTCTCATGTAACGTTGAATGGCATGAACAATGAGTTTCATATGCTTGCTTTGCTTCTTAATAAAGCCTTATATGTAATATATATGGGTGCAGCTACAACGAGGAGTGTGTACAGTTACATGACCAAGCCAATGAATCACAGTGGACGGTCATTCACTCACTCAACTAACCGACACCTGCTCAGTGTCACGCCCAGGTCCATCTCTCCATCCCAGCCCTGCGACTGAAAGAAGGCGCTATCCTTCACTCACCCCAGGACAACACTTCATGCTCCTCAACACCAAAGACGCTAAGTGAGACAGTTTTCCTAAAAACAAAACTAGGTCTGCAATGACTCAAAACTTTCTTCTTCTTAAATGACTTTTAGAAAATATTGTACAATTAAGAACAACATAGGTTTTCGAGTTGGATAACCTTTGATCAACATACTATACATTTGAAGCTAGGGTGGTGGAAATGCGCGCGTGTGTGTGAGAGAGAGAGACTTTTCCTTTCTTTTTCCACAATGTCTATGTGAAGGAGAAACAGGATCATTTAAGTAAGAGCTTTGTCACAGGATCTGATCCATTGTGCTTGTTAGTTGCTATTTCCTCATTTCTGACTCAGGGCAACCCCATGTGTGCAGAGTCAGACGGTCTGCCCCAGCAGGGTCTCAAGGCCGTGATCTTTCCAAAGCAAAAGTCCAGGCCGGTTCTCTGAGGCATTTCTGGTTGGGGTTAACTTGCCAACTTGC